AAGGCCGATTCGAAAAGTCGGAAAAGATGGCGCCTGACTTCCGCGCACTCAACAGAAAGACAATCGAGGATGCTTACCCCCTTCCTGATATAACCACAATCCTCGGCCAATTGAGGGGCGCTAAATACTTCAGCGTCTTCGACTTGGCTAGTGGCTTCCACCAAATGGAAGTGAACCCAGCTGATGGCCCTAAAACCGCGTTCTCTTTCCCCGGTGAACACTGAGAATACACCCGGATGCCGTTTGGTTTAAACAACGCTCCGGCAGAATTTCAACGCATGATGGACTATGTGCTCTCGGGCCTGAAAGGCACCGAACTCTTCGTCTACCTAGACGACCTAATTGTTAATGCATCTTCCCTCCATGAACACGGCGTTAGAGTGCGCAGACTTTTTGAGCGTCTGCGGAAAGCAGGACTCACACTTCAGGCTTCCAAATGTCGTTTCTCATGCAAAGAGGTCAATTACTTAGGCCATATAATCACCACTGATGGCATTAAGCCAGACCCTGACAAAGTGATAGCAGGCGTTAGGTCCACTGTAAAATCGTACGACAGGGTCCTAAGGGAGAGAGAAAACAGCACCCTAGCTGACTCTCAACTTGAACAGACCAATGAACTCGAACGTGATGAAGAGGATAACGAAGAGGACTCGGATGATACTGATGAGAGTATCGAGAGTGACGGAGAGGGCCAGGAACCTGAGTCGCCTCAGCCCGATTTCCCAGTTCAAGAGGTGTTAAACCTCACTCCGTTCAAGGATATGTACTGGGACAAGGGTGCTTATCAGTACATCGAGACTCTCCAGCATTCTACCTCTGCGCGCAATCCGCAACTAACCTTACCGAATTCTAGCAACTCCCGTAAATCCTCTTCTTCAGCCAGTACCATTTGAGGAACCTCTACGCACTATCCTACCTCATCCCCTTTTCGTTACTTTTTTCTTCCCCTTTCATCATTCTCTTCCGCCTTTGCCAAAGATAGCTTTCTCCTCTTTGTCTGCTTTTTCATTTCTCCCGATACACCAAATATATATATATATTGTAAACCGATACATGCTCAATAAAAATTTATATTTTCTTGTACTTGACTTGGTTAACGTTATTAAGAAGCTGTACTTCCATCCCTTTCTCAATGTTTTAGCATCTTTCAGCCATGATGAACCTCCTAATCTCAGCCGATGGCTTGCTATCTCCCATCAGGCTGCAAAGTAAGTGTATTTCGGGGCCTGATCAACAGACTTGTTTCCCTTTCTTGTTCGTTGAAAAGGCGGAGACGGATGTCTGACTTAGTCCATCGCACTAAGACCTGGGAATACTGGAGGAATCCTCGACTGTGAGCTCCCGGGCCCTGGGTGGTGCTGCATTGCCTCGAAGATGAAATCACCATCAAAGACGAACCACTGATTGAGCGGGACATTAAGCTTACCCAGGTTGTATACGACTTCCTGAGGTGCCATGGCCAGAGCTCGGACGACTCCCAGCCTATGCTGCCGGACATCTACCAGCTGGTGTGAGATCTAGACTCCGTCCTCCTTATCTACTATCAAAGGGAGATCAAAAGTCGCCAGCGTAAATGCGCCTACGGACCTCGATGGGATGAAAATTCTATGGACGAAACCTATCGCTCTTCCCTGTGACCCATCTCATATAACTCCCCCCCTAATTTCCCGTCTCCGGGTCCAGGTAAGCCACTCTTCACGTCTTTTCTCCTGTACATGCACCTAGTTACAACGCAGTATAATACAATAAACTCTTCAAACTAGGTAATGTTCAATATTTCAATTTGTCTTTTTTCTTCCTTAACCTCTTCTGCGAATTATTGAGTTGGCCCAAGTCCTAACCCCCTCCTCTAAACCCCACAGTAATGTTCAGTTTTGACTCTGCAAACAGATTGTAACTAACCAATAAAAAGTTAATCTAAGCTGTCACTAACCCCTAACAGCCAGCCGTATCAGCAAAGTGGCGTGCAGTGAACGGGACTCAGAAGTAGATTCCTCGTGGGTAACCTTGCATAAACCAACAAAAGAGTCAATGAGCTAGCTTCCTACGCCGCTTGACCACATCGACCTCCAAGTGCTCTCGAAAATCTCGCACGTCACCGCTTTCCGTGTAACATCATCGCGACCGTCATCGGAAAACCTCTCTTGGAAAAACATCTGTGGGAGGATTACCATCCGCGCCCATACAAAATACCGCAGTCACGGGGGCTAAAGCCATCGGCTCTCACCATCTTGACAGAAGAGGACTTTTTGGTATTGTCAGCCGGCCGAAAACTCACCGAAACTCCTGGCTATTTTTTACTTGCAAGCCTAAGTCTACTACGTCGTTTGTGAAGGCCAGCAAATTCATACTCTCAATCTCGACGGCGCTGGCAAGCTGGACCTCCGACCGGGCTGCATGGCTAGTAACTGCTATGAGACTATCCTCAGCTTAGGAGAATTTCAGACTAACATCACTGGCCGACTCCCCGAGACCACTCTTGAACTCATGTCTCTCTCTTCAAACCTGCATGACTCTTCTCGGGAACCGTCTATTAACACTCCCCACCTTTCATCAAGAAGCCGACCCTTGGGTCATCTGGGGTAGTGGCCTGGACCAGATCGAGAACAAGTTAAACAGAGTCGATATTTACCATCAGCAGAACGATGAAACAGGATTTGGATCTCCAGCACACTTGAAGTGGTCGGGATAATTCGCTTTATCTCTAATCGTTCTGAGTATTTACAAGTGTGAAAAGAGCCATCTCTGGGTCTGCTCATGATCTCTGCAATAATACCGAAGCATTCGAGAGAGACGGGGAAACGATCTCCCTCTTATTATTGTCATCCCAAAGAACGATTCTCCCAAGCCACAGTCAGCCATCGAGGGCACTTCAAGGGCAACACCGCCGAGGACCACCGTGCGCCCAGGCATCGTTCTCTCTACAGCCTCTGCAGCGTTCTAGCCACACTATCTGTCACAATCAATTGCACCTTACTTTAAAAATTTTTCTTTTGGTTATTTTAATCTCTAGGTAAAGTTATGATATTGTAAAATAAAACCAAAATACTACATCAGAACGTAGATTGATAAAGGAATCGTTCATTAAAGATTGACAGCAATTAATTAGAAAGAAAGGATCCGTGCGGTCAACTCAAGTCTCAGTCAAAAACTGAAGATAAACCAACTCTCCCCTCGTTGCTATAAACAATTTAATCGTCAAGCAATCGTTGTTAACTGACAAACCGTCGTTGGTCTAATAGTCATGAGATGTCTACATACAAATATTATACACTTCTCCCGATCTTCTAAAAATCGCCTTCTGGCAATTGATAACAGTTGGGTAAAAATATTGGATTAGGCTGAAATGAGTAAACATGCAAATGTAAAATGACATTTCTAATTCAAAATTATCGAAATCAAATTGATAATCATTCAAAATTATAAAGATGAATCAAGTGATTACTCCGCCTAAATACCAATATCGCCGCATCCCAACTCTGTCTGCTTTAAAATAGATAAATAAAATAATTAGGAGAGAAAAATCCTGCGGTGAGTAAAAACCTCCAAACAGACCAAAATGACTTCAATTAAACTAATAACGTGATTCTATACAATAAAAGATTTCTTAAAAACTAACCGTCCATTAGTCAAATTAAAAATTCAAAATCTTAATTTTCATCTTTAATTCTCTTTCCATCCTTCTTTTTTATCAGAAGGAACCACTGCGAAAAAACAAAAAGACCCGAAGAGTAGGAATTGCCAAGAACTAGAAGGTCATGAAACTAAACAGAATAAAAGTTCCTTACAGAATTAGAGTTCTCAAAGAAATCCGTCATTTAATCGTAGATTTAATGTTCAATTAATAATTAGGTTGAATGTAGTCCAGTCATATTAGATTTTAAATCGTGAAATCTTGAAATAGACAAAATTTTAATAGACTATTTGTAGGGGATGTAGAATTAGTTTCCCCTAAAAAAAAGTGAGCTCCGACACCGGGCAAGGGTTGAAATCACCCTTTAAGCGCTTTTTTATGCATTTTTTCATGTTTGTTCTTATTTTTTCGAGAACTATAACAGATATGAAAAAATATTTTAAACAAAAGTTGTAGCAGCTACAATTTTACATAAAAAAGTCCGCATCTTCGCAACCTTACCTGTAACAGGTAAAAAGTTATTGACCTCTAAAGGTTGGAAAAATTCGAAACAATGAAAATATTGAACACCCTTTGGGCACGATACTGCTGTGAGAGAAACAAAGCGATATGTCAGCGCTTGTCACACTCATTGCGAGTATTTTATCATAATAAACGTGCCTAAACGAAACACAACGTAAACAAAACCCATGGGATAGACAAGGAGGGTTATGTTTATGTATTCAAAATATAGGAAAGGATAGCTGACGTCACAAGGTCAGCAATTGTAAGACTTTAAAGAAAACTAAGTGATCACCAGCATTGTATAGAGTAATCACCCCAAGTGACATAAATAACAATTTATTTGCAAGTTAGTTTTAATTGATTCTGTTTTTTAAAATATAGCTCTATATATAGAGTTTTTAAAAATATGCTCAATAGCTTCTGCTCACTGTGCAAACTAAATTTTAGAAAATTGGGCTCACAGTTACGCATACTACCCAAACAAAAATAATAGGATGCCATGGACATCTAGTACTTCACTTTGCTTCACTTTAGCCAATAAATAGAGAAAAGGATTCCGGTACAATGACTTCAACCGTGTATATCCTACAGTAACCCTACGATAACGCTCCAGGACAGACATTGTGAATTTAAATCAACAATCAAATGATCAATGAGAGCCAACGTTCTCAGACTGGAAGTTACAAAAACCCTGAATTCAACAGAAATTAGGAATTCAGAAAGAGTCAAGAATGATTCATTATCATCGTACGGAGCGAGTCTAATCCCTCAATCACTTAGAAACGACCCTTCAAAATTTTCTGAAATTCGAAACACAACATCTTTAAGTAGATTTCAGATGCATGAAGACTATCCAAAAATAACTGAAACTTTAGGCGATTTCCTCCACTTACTAAAGAAATTGAATCTGATCTTTAAATTCATTCTAAAAGAATTTCAAACCAAATCTTATTATTTTCTGTTAAACTTGATTTAACAACCTGGAAAATCTTATAATTTTTCTTAGAATGACCGTCTATACCACAAATCCAACATCTTAATCCATGAAAAGAATTTTTATGATTGAAAGATTCCAAATTTCCTTTAGCAGAATCGGAATGATTATTACTATCATTATCAATTCTGTCTTTTTTGAAATTATTGTAAAATTGTTTTTTTTCTGACCTCCAAAAGTCAAATCTTTAATCGACTGAAGCTCTAAAGATCTCTGAGCTGTTAATTGAAGAGACTAAATTCTCCCCGAACAAAGAGAAAATTGTAACTTAATCTTTTTAATCCAGAAATGAATTGCAAACCAGCAATTCTATCTCTCTTTTCAAAAGAGACTGAAGGATACGCAAATTTGACAAACCTATCCAAATCATTTCAAAAGTCTGTTAGATGTTTATTTTCAGACTGTTTCCTAGCCTGGAAACGACTTAAATAAGCTCGAGAAAATTGAGCTTCACCAAAACCATCTTTCAAAGTGTTTTTCAATTTTTCAAAGTTCCCTAAATCTTCTGAACTCAAATTTTCTAAAATAACTTGAGCTTTGTCCTTCAAA